CATCAACGTAAACTGATATAGCTATGAACACCTTTTGATTTTTCAATATAAATATGCAGTTTTCCGAAGTTAATGGTTTAAAACTCAATTGTATTAGAGTATTCTTGAATTTTAAATACCAATTACGTCCTGATTGAGGTAGACCGTATATACTTTTTTTAAGTTTAAGAACCTTGTCTTTCTCATATTCATCCTCAAATCCTGGAGGCAATGTCAAATAGACTGTTTCCAATAAATCACTATATAAATATGCTGTCTTGACATCAAAAAATCGCAGGTTTAGTTTTAGTTTACTAGCTAATGCTATAAACAGGCGCCATGCTTCTATAGATACTACAGGTGAGTAGGATTCCTCGTAATCTTTGTTTTTAACATAATTATATCCTGCAGCTACTAACCTGGCTTTAAATTTGACATTTTTATTCTCTTTATCATTCTTGACAGTCAGAACCCATTTACTTTTTGTGATTTTTTCCTTATTAGGTTTGTCCACTATTTCCCATACCGAGTGTTTATCAAATGACTTTAATTCTTCTCTCATGGCTTTTTCCCAATCTATCCAATTTTTACTATTTTTCGCCTCATCATAATTTGATGGCATCTTAACTTGTTCTACCAAATTGACTGTTTTTTCTCGCAATCTTTCAGATCTTCGAACCCCTTCTCGATTCGTATTATCTTCTTCACGCCTTAAACACTCTCTTGCCTCTATAACCTCTCGAGTCGTACCTCGAGGTCTTCCGCGTGGTCTACGTTCTGCTTCTATAAAATGTTCATTTTCTTCGTTATCGATCTCACTATTTACATCTACGTTTATTTTATTATTCTCTTGAATTTCAATCACATTTTGTTCCGGTTCTAAATATGTTAGTAAATTATATTCTCCACTATCTTTATAATTTTTATTAATAAGGCGCGCACCAGAATCATTTTCATTAAAATTTACTGTTCTTTCTTCCAAGACTTTTCCTGTTTCTGGTATATAAACTCTGTAACCGCGTCTTTCTCGCGCATATCCTACCATTATTCCTATCTTACCGGGCAAGTTCAATTTGTCACGTTTTTGTTTAGGCACATAACAATATGCTGTACATCCGAATACTCAAAGATAGTTAATATTTGGTTTCATACCGAAAAATAATTCGAATGGCGTTCTATCTTTATTTTTACGAAAGGTTACGTTAGTAACGTGACTAACGCATGCTGCGGCTTCTGCCCAAAATATATTTGGTAACTTACTATCGTATAACAGATTCTTAGTACGTTCTAAGATTGTTCGATTAGCTCTTTCTGCCTTGCCATTGCTTTCAGGATTATACGGTATAGTTTTCTCATGAATTATTCCGTTATTTTCTAAAAATTCGTCAAGTTCACGGTTTAAAAATTCTCTACCATTGTCAGTTCTGAAACGTTTTACTCTAACATTAAGTAGATTTTCATATTTCTCTTTAAATGAAACAAACTTTTCGCAGACTTCATTTTTGTACTTCAGAAAATATGTAAAATACATACCAGAGAAATCATCTATTAATACAAGCATATATCGGGAACCATTCAGCGATTCAGTCGATATAGGTCCACACAGATCACCATGAATCAGTTCAAGTGGTTGTCTACTTTATGTGGTTTCCTAGTTATTTTGCTAAGATTGCAGCTTTCACAGACGAAATTATCATCAAAATATAC